AGGCTGTCCCAAAATCCACGCAAGATTTGCAATTCAATTCAATTGCAAATCTTGCGTGGATTTTGGGACACCCTATATTTATTCATTTAATGTCTATCTCTTCAACTAGATCCTTAAGCTCACCAGGCCAGAGAATACGGGAGGCTGCCCATCCCCTCAGCCCCAGTGCCCAGCATCAATGCTCAACAAACATAATAAATGAACATCTGGCCCTGCATTAGCTAGCACAGGGACCTTGGATAAACCGCATACACATTATTTCTGATCCTCAGTCACAAGAAACTACAGTTTTGGTCACAATAATTTCTGAAGGGGGCAACCACGATCCATAAATGACTCTATCCACTCATAGTCATTAATAGTAATTAGTTTATCCTCAACCAAACTGCAAAGTGAGGACCTGCTGTTCTTTAATGGACATTGTCTGCCCTCCTCTGTCTATTCTCTACAGCTCCCTACTCAGGGAAACCTCCCACCCCCACCACACCATGCCCCCTGCTAAACACATCTTCTCATCCTGGAGGAAATCAGACCTTTCTCTTTTTTTCAGTGGGTTGTTATTAAAGCATGTTATAAACTCATTCCACTGAAGTGTGAGTAACTGATAACGGGACGTAAGTGCGGAGCCCAGTATGCGCTTGTCGGGAGATTTGTTATTCTTTCACCTTGTTAGCGGGCAGCACCATGAATCTGAAAAACATGATAACATTTGTAAAGCACTGTGAGCCAGAATGGGTCAAGCACGTGACATACATTTTTTTTTTCATCTGTAAAACTACTCTATGCCACAGGACCAATAAGTAGAGATGAGGAGACCTCAACCAGACAGGCTATGGAGTCTGCCCCAGGTTTCACAGCCAGGCAGGGGTAGGACAGGACTGGAATCCAGACCTGTATTTCAACTGATGTCCTACAACCATTAGGTCTGAGTGGTAAATGATAGGGCGCAGGGGCCCAGAGCTGATGGTGAATTCATCAGAAAAGGTTTAGAACAGCAGTTCTCAACCTGTGAGTAGCAACCCTTTTGGCGGTTGAACGACCCTTTCACAGGGGTCGCCTAAGACCATCCTGTATATCAGATATTTACATTACGACTCATGACAGTAGCAACATTACAGTTATGAAGTAGTAACGAAAATAATTTTATGGTTGGGTCACAACATGAGGAACTGTATTTAAAGGGCCAGAAGGTTGAGAACCACTGGTTTAGAAGGTCTAATTAGTCTTCTTAAAATACATTATGCAAATAGGGTTTTACATTTTTCTCTTGAACCTCATATTTTAAATAGTGACACATAATTTAAGAACAACAATGCAAATGAGAAAACATGAATCTAAAAGGAGACAGCAATAAAAGCAAAGATGTAGCAGTTATGTCATAAGCTTGATATGGTCAAGACTTGGAACATAAATCAGCCCACAGGGGTCATGATTTTTAGGAGAAAAAGTTCACTCTGAGAAATAATGAACGTCTTCTTTGGGTTAAATTTGGGTGTAGTTACAGTTCCTGGTTGATGAACATTTGTTCATGAACAAAGCTGAGTGGGCATGCAGATGTGTGTTGAGCTGGTGCTTGGTGCTGGCCAAGATCCGGTCCCGGTGGGCCCCCTCCTTTTTTTAAGTTCAGAATTTCAGGAAGTATGAGCTCCATGTAACAAGCAAACTCAGAGGGAGTAGACGCCTACGTCTTTATATGAGTATGTCTGTCTGTCTTCATAGGTGTCAGGCAGAATATGGCTCCCACCGTGAAGTCAGCAAAGAAAGTATCCGTTTTCTTAGGAAAATCAGTATTTAGTCTTCTGGAGACTATGATTTTTACCTTAATCCCGAAGCCACGGAAGAACGTTGCTGGTGAAATCGTACTCATAACAGGTGCTGGGAGTGGACTCGGAAGGCTCTTAGCCCTTAAATTTGCCCGCCTTGGAGCTGTGCTTGTTCTCTGGGATATCAACAAGGAGGGGAATGAGGAGACGTGCAACATGGCTCGGGACGCCGGAGCCACAAGAGCCTATGCCTATACCTGTGACTGCAGTAGAAGGGAAGAGGTGTACCGAGTGGCCGATCAGGTAAATTTTGGGTGCTTACGCTTTGCTATGGAGAGTAAGAACTCTATGTAAATACTTGGAAATACATCAGTTTCTTTCTCTGTTTGCTTTTCTCAGTGCCAATTTGCCTACCTCCAACATTCTTTTAATTTAAAAATTTGGGGGGAGTGGGAATTAGAATTTTTGCAATATATCATGTTAAGCACCCTGTGTGTATTATATATTATAATCCTATAAAGTAAGGCATATTAGTACCTCCAGTTCACAAATGAGAAAACCAAGACTTAGGAGAGGTAAATAGCTTACCTAAGAAAAAGATAATAAGTAGCAAAGCGACAGCTGGGACATGAGCCTGTTGACTCCTGAGTAGGTACTCTGACCACCACTCTATACTGACTGTGCTGGCCCTTATCACAATATAAGATAGGTGATAGCACCATCTTTGAGGATGAAGAAACTGAGGCACAGATATATTAACCTGCTCAGGGTTCCAGAGCTACTGCATGACTAAGCCAGGTGTAAACCCACATTTAGTCTAATTTTAAATCCAGCTATTTCCACTCCACCACTTTGATTTGCATGTGTATTTCTCCAAAGTTATGAAAAAATCAGAACATTTTATTCATCCTAAAGACTGTTAACCTCAGTTTTTCCTTTAGCGATGACAGAGATGCACATATTTAGGAGCTCCACCACAGTGCCTTTGATTTGCGTGTGTATTTCTCCAAAGTTATCATGAAAAAATCAGAATATTTTATTCATCCTAAAGGCTGTTAACCTCAGTTGTCCCTTTAGCGATGACAGAGATGCACATATTTAGGACGCTTTCAGGAAACCAAAGCTCCAATATGCCAATGGTAGGGTTTTCTTAGTTCGTAGAGGAACTAGCTTGTTTGCTGACTGTCTCCTTTGCTTATTAAGGATTAATCTGTTTTCATGTTGCCATGAGTATTCTACACATCACTCTCTAGGGCCACTTCTTTTGTGACTCCCAGGGTTCCCTCATTTAGTGAGAAGGGAGGAACTAGACCAGCTTGTGACAAGCAAGCAACCACATTGGAAAGCTCTTGCACAGCAACTACATTGGAAAGTTTTTGCACAGCTTCTCTGCTCAAAACTAGTAGAAAGGTTTGCGGGTCACTGGCCATTGAGTGAGTTTTTAACTTTCGTTTGAGTTTGTCTTTACATTTTACACATCTGTTCTACCATCTCCAATCACAGGCTGCCCAGAACAGCCTGGAGACCCAAACTTGACAAGCTAGCAGGGCTCATGCTAGGACTACCCTGCAAAGAGCAGATGTGTCTTTTTTCAGAGCTGACCTCACAAATTCAGCCCTTTGTCCTTGAAGCACCAGTCACCTGGCAGGTTGACTTACACTGATTACAAATAACTTCCCTGGCAAGTGTTAAGCAATAACTGGCTTGTGTTCAAAAACATCTTCAGATGTGGAACAAGCTAATATGAGGTGCTCCATAAATAATTAGTTGCCACTGCTCCATAGCCATAATTCAGTTCTGCCCCAAATGCTCAGCTTCAGAAATGGTCAAACATGGTGCATTTACTAGCCTATTATTCAACTTTTCTTACTCCTGGGCCTTGCAGACAATTAAGTATATGCTCTTTTGCATTCAGGAGAAGCAAACTACTTTCCACCTTATAAACCAAGCACTTCCCCTTCTTATTCTGGATAGAGGGAAGCTACCAGAGAAATTTTACAAAGTATACCATAGAGGAGTGATCCAGGTGAAAATTGTCAGAGCAGTTTGACAGTGTTTTATCTCCTCTGAGACCCCAATCACCTTGAAAGCTTGTGTCCCTAGAGCATAGTTGGCACTGGAAGTCCAGCCTTGATACCTGGCATCCGGGTGAGAGGTCATTTGAAACAGTAAACACAAGACCAGCCTGGAGCAACGTAGTTGTCACTTATCCTTAATGTGGCATGTGGAGTATCCTAACTATATATTTAATAGCTGTGATGCCTTAGACAAGCCAACTCATAATCGATTTTGCTTGGCATACCTCTAACTGACTGCATTGGTTCAACAGAAAAAAAAAACCCACCTCATTACAGACATACTGCTGAGACATTGAGGGTTCAGTTGCAGACCACTCAATAAAGTGAGTTGTAATCTTTTTGCTGGTGAAGGGTCTTGCCTTATTTGTAAAAATGAGGTGTGTTTGTATTTGTAGTATCAGTGAGTTTTTTGTAAGGTTTATTACTGATTCCAGATGTCCAAGGTCAAACTTCAGGATGGCTTCATCTTTTAAACCACGTGGTCACCGGTAGAAGTTGACTTTAACCTATTGCCCACGATGACTTATAGTGGTGGGAAAGTCAAATCAGCCATCCTGGGCAGTGTGGAGTTAGACACTGACACGCACAGCCTTCCTGTGGGTTCTTGTTGTCATAGTGTGGCTATTCAAAAGGTGGGCACAGCTTATGTGCAAGTCTTCCTGGGGCTGAAGAGATTATTGCCACATTCTTACAACAAGGAAGAATAATGAATGCTGGGGGAACAAAAAAAAAAGAAGGAAGGAAGGAAGAAAGAAAGAAAGAAAACCAAGTATAAAATTAGGATCTGCTGTGTTTTCCCTTAGATGTTACCCCTGAGCCCCTTATAAAACAACACAAACTTACTCTCACCCCAGGACGACCACTCAAGTTACTGTAAGCCCAGGGTCATTGTAGCAAATGTGGCCTACTTGTGCCTCCCTTCACAGATCTCATGCCTAAAAGTTTGGGGGAGGGAGAAGAAAGCCAGCCAGTTGATAAAAACAGGATAGACAGGTTCTGAACCATGATGTGTGTTGAAAGCATGGATATACTGAATATCATATTTCCTCCATTCACTCCCTACGCCACCCCATCTCTGTGTCTGCTAGGTCTTGATTTATATGACTCCAGAGGTCCAGTGCATGAATTCATGAACCAGTGGGGACCCTCAGCCTGGCCTGTGGGATCAGGCCAAAACTGGGTCTCCAACATCCCCTGAGGGGCCCTGGATTGCGAGAGGGTGTAGGCCAGGCCAAGTGACCCCATCGGTTCATGATCGATCAGGGCCGGGGAGGGATACAGGAGGTTGGCCAGCTGGAGAGGGTCCCTTGCGGGGCTCTGGATTGCGAGAGGGCATAGGCCAGGCCGAGTGACCCCATCGGTTCATGATCGATCATGGCCAGGGAGGGATACAGGAGGTTGGCCAGCTGGAGAGGGACAGCAGGAGGGCTCCAAGGCATGTCCAGAGGTTCTCGCTCAGTCCTGATCTGTCGGATCCCAGCAACAAGCTAACCTACCGGTCAGAACGTCTGCCTCCTGGTGGTCAGTGCAGATCATAGCATGCTAAGGTTGAGCAGCCTTAGCATATCATTAGCATATTATGCTTTGATTGGTTGAACGGATGACATATCGACCAGACACTTAGCATATTAGGCTTTTATTATATAGGACTAGAGGCCCAGTGCATGAAATTCGTGCACAGGTATGGTCCTGCCAGCTGGGGCCTCCCTTCCCAGCTACTGGTTGCCAGCTGCCAGCCAGGATCTTCCTTTATTCCATGCCACCCCCTGGTGATCAGTGCATGTCTCCCAGAATGACCACTCAAGTTACTGTAAGCCCAGTGTCATTGTAGCAAATGTGGCCTACTTGTTCCTCCCTTCACAGATCTTATGCCTAAAAGTTTGGGGGAGGGAGAAGAAAGCCGAAGCGATCAAACTACCAGTCGGTTGAACTCCCGAGGGGACACTTTGCATATTAGCCTTTATATCGAGAGATGGCAATAAGGGCATATGTCCCATCACATTAATTAAAATTATATGCTTCTTAGAGCATAGAACAAAGTTACTGCTCACCAAATATAAGAATAGCTCTAAATGTAGAAGGAAAGCAGCATTGCATTGTTGGAATTATCATAAGGAGAAGAAGAAATAAAAAGAAAAGCATCAGACTTGGATTGCTGATGCACTGTACACTCAGCAAAGGAAATAAAACATGCTTTGTTTCCAGACGGCATAAGCTCAGTCTCTTAACAAGGTTTAAATTGGGGCGCGGGGATTAAACCTAGATCATATAAGAAATTACTACGTTGATGGTGCTGCTCTTGTTACTCAATTCAGGTTAAAAAAGAAGTTGGTGACATTTCCATCCTAATCAACAATGCTGGCATCGTCACAGGCAAAAGGTTCCTCGACTGCCCGGATGAGCTTATGGAAAAGGCTTTTGATGTGAATTTCAAAGCACATTTGTGGGTAATAATTTTTTCTTCTCATAACAAAGATTAGCCTCTAAATAAAGCACAGTCTTCTCAATTTTAGCTTATCCTGGTCTACCCAGTCATCTTCTCCCAATCCAACTCAACCCACACTCCCAGAACTTGCCAGGGAATCCCACAAAGACACACTGCCCTAGTGGTACTACTATCATTTATTCACTGCCCTAGCCACCTCAGGCATGGCCTTAAAACAGCTCCTTGAGGTAAGGAGTCACAAAAGTTAAAAGACTTACTCCAGGCTACACCGCAAGTGACAGCACTTAGACTTGGCCAGGGTGACCTTATCATTTGCCTAAGCTGCAACTCTTTTGTAAAAAGCGAAAGAGGGCATTCTTAATAAGCAACATTAACCAGATCTGTTCTGAGCAAACCAAAACATTCGGCCTCCTGACTCAGTACCTACCCAGGGAAAGAAAGGTTCCTACCAATAACCCTGGTGACTGCGTGCTATGGACATCAAGGGGCACAACCATGTGCCTACTTTCAGACACTGTGTTTTCCTGGCTGTAGCTGAGACCAGTAATGTCAGGCCACCCCATGCCAGGCACGGTCCCTCGTTCTGCCTCTCCCAGCACGTGAGCCCATTTTGTTCCCGCCCCACTCACAGCTCATCCTGCCCTTGTCCAGCTGTGCTTCTGAGAGTGATTATTTGCTGGAGATTTCCAAGACCCCCTCCATTCTCCTCACACCTCTCCACGTGGACTTTCCACTCAACTCTCCTTGCACAGCTTTCAGAGACTGTAGGTTTTCTGTCTCCTAGTTTCACCAAAAATGCCATGGTGGTACTCTTGGGGTTCTCTTCAGTTTTCAGGAGAAAGATGGAAAGATTCAGAACTCAGTGGCCACCATGCTCCTTCAGGAACTACTGCAAGTGACTTGTGTTGTCTGGTCCCAAATGCCCCTCTGCTGCATTAGAATGAAGTTGGAATATCCCGTCAGAAGGAAGACAAAGACAGTGTCCCTGAAAATCTCCACTCCAGGCCTTTCATGTTCTTTCCCCACCTCTCGGCTTTCCTGGTCGCTTTCATGGTCTCCTCTTTCTCTTCTTTCTCTTCTACTTTCTCTTCCACGTGTTCCTGAAATACTGATGTTCCCCTGCTGGCCCTCACCTCCCCTCACGCCCTCTCTGTACCCTTTTTCTGAGCAAGCCCAGGTACGTTCTTTGAGTATTTGCACAGAGTGGGCACTTACTTGCTAGAGGGTCAGAGGGCGCATGGTGACAGGGCTCCCAAGGGGAGTGTTGCCAGGGAGAACTGACTCGGAGCGGACGCCACAGTTTTTATTATGCTGCTTGTTTTGATTTTCCTCCTCTCTGAAAGTGTTAGGTTCTCTCGGAAACTCGTTATGATGCAGACAAACAGAGGTTGGCTGACTTTTACAAGAGATTCTTTTTCTCATATTTATTTATAGTAGGAAACAAATATGAAATATAAATTTATGGAAAAGAGAAAGCAATTTGGCGACAGAAACAGAGGTCAGGGTGTTGGGGCTGCTGGCAGGAAGGGTGCTACGAGCCAGGGGAGGTAGATGATCTCTAGAAACTGGAAAAGGAAAAGGAACAGATTTTTTTCTAAAGCCTCTGGAGAAAATGTGGTCCTGATAACACATTGATTTCAGCCAGTGAAACCCTTTTTTTACTCTTGTCCTAAAGAATTGTAAGAATAAATTTGTGTTGTTTTAAGCCAAAAAAAAAAGAAATATAAATTTATGAAATAAAATGCAGTTATTCGTATAGGTTAATTATTTCTCTGTTGCAGAATACATCTTCTCCCAAAGCTCATTGCTCTTTCCTTTATCTTCTTTCTCCAC